ATTTGACAATATTTCTTCACAAGATATTTTGCTAAGGACATCCACTGATAAGAAATCCTTATGTTATAACTAGTGAATAATTTCCCTAGTGCAACTTCTAATTGTTAATTGCCTCCATCTTGCTTTCAGAGCACATCCTTCAAAGTTGCATGTCTCATTTGTCAGGTCTACAAAATGTATGTACAAAATATATGTACATTTGTGTAATTATTTTGATTACATGCACTGGAAGCAAGAATGCTGAGAGATGCCTTGACTATTGTTCTCTAGCAGGGAAACCATATGGGACCAGTAATTTTATTTCATTCTTCTGTMAATGGTTATTGCAAGATAACAATGAAAATGAATTATTACAGTTCCACCTAAAGATTAATTTCAATATTTGATCTAACTGTTTTTTTATATAAACAAAGGAGTTGCATTAAGATTAGGAAGTTAAAACCTGCATAAAGTTTTGAAAATATAGGTAGTAATAGTTATTRTCCTCAATCTTTGTGACATAATTAAAAATAGTATAAGCTTACTCATCCATCAAAACCARTTAATTTCTTTAGGAATGTGAAATCTTAATCTGTATCTACATTTATATTGCAAAATAAAGTTTTAGCAAAGCATCCTTCAAAACACTTCAGAATGTGTTTCAACATCTCAATCTGATACATTTTAGACTGGAATGCTGCTACTCTGTAGAAATTATTACACCTTCCAAAAATTACCTTAAACCTCTCAGCCCAGGTATTTTGGTTTGATGTTTTTAGGGAGCTGTTTTTCTTGTGGTTTGTTGGGCTTTTTTTTTGTTTTGTTGCATGCTTTTTATTGTGACCATTGATTACAATTTTCAGATTCAGCATTTCATCAGACCTAACAGCTAAACATCACAGAAATTAAAATGTTTGCATGGACTAATATATTTTTCACAACATGAGTAAACAATGTCAATAAGCAGTCACASTCTTCTGTTTGTAGCAGCACAATGACAATCCTCCACTGGCACCYCCCTTATTTTTCTTGCTGTTAGAACTGAGAGACGTAAAGATGACATCAAGACAAAACAGGGAGAGAAAGCTATCAGAAGTTGAGAGCATTTTCCACCCATGAACAAACACAAATACATTATGTTTAAACTAATACAAAAATCAGCATAGAATCTGCTGGTTTTCAGTACTGCTTCAAGAAATGAGCCACACCATTTTTGTAAGAGAAAAACTAAATTAACTTTCAAATGCATCCCCAACTTCTTTATGTAAACAAATGACAAAAAGTTTTCATTCTCACAATTGTGCTATTTGCAAAGTCTAAGTGGGAAAAAATATAGTACATAAGCAAAAAAAGAATGTTAGAAATTCCTGCCAGACTCCATTGCCTCCAACAGATTCTGAATCAAGCCCAGAATGAACAGTATCATCAAGAGAGAAAACAGCATCTATCATGGGGCGACTCACCCAGCCAAAATGGCTTGAGATAGGGTGTCTGGAAGGAATGCAGAAACATTAGCGCTGAAGCCATTTGTCAAAAGCACTTTGAAACAATCCCTGCTAAACAGAAGTCTTGAGAACATATTCCCTGAAGAAATTCTCATTGCCCACAGCATACTATCTGAAGAAATTCATGTTCTGCATTTTAGGATTGTGTTACCTTAAGGGCTGCCACGAGGGCCTGTTAAGACATATCCATAAAGAGAGYTTGAGCAATTATATGGCAATTTAAACGCATCAGCTTCTTGACAATTCTTGCTTGTTCTGTAAAATCTCAAGGAAGCCACGGAAAGGAGCTGTCACCAACACCTCAAAGCAGCCAGCCTGCCTAAACAACCTCCCCATTACCACCCCGCATATGTAAGCATCCACAAAGTAACTTGTGTTGGAAGCAAGAGAAAAAAAGCAACAACTGAGCAACCCAACACTCAAGCAAGCCATGAACATTTTCCACATTTGAAAAGAAAGGTGGCTTTCCGACATGCTCCTACTGACCCTTTTGCTGGTTRCAACACCTCCTGCAGGGCCAGCCTCATTACTTGGCCAGATGTTCATCCTGGCTCTCCCAAAACCCCCATAGAAATACAATTTGATTCTCCTGAATCCCACAGCTATTCCCAAGGGTGCAARTGGCAACAACTAAAGTTGTGAAGACAGGAAAGCATTCCAATCCCCATCCATGTTTTGCTCRGTTAGCTCTCCAGGGTACGAGGACACGTGTGTTGGCTTTTCTCCTTCTCCAGACAGAAGTTTTGCTTCTGCTGGAGTGGACAGCAACTACCAAAAGCCTCCTTTCACTATATTCAGTAACAGAAGAGCATTCATTTGAAATTGCATGAGTACATGAGTTTCTTACACAGGTTATAAAGATACACATTATAAACCTGCAGCAACTTCTACCATCCTCTTCTTTTCAAGAAAAATCCTCTGTGTTTTCCAGTGTGCTCATCCAATCCCTCCCAGAGAAAACAAATACCCACAACCTTTCAAACCAATTAAAATTTTTAAGACTTGCTTTCTGCTTGTTTTGTATTATTTACGGGTCTCCTTTTCAACAGTTTAAAAAAAAAAAGTATCTTCATATTTTTTTCCTGGGATGGATGGCAACTTTTGGCAAAAAGAAGATGAAAACAGTCWGATTACAGGACATTCTGATCACTTTGAATAGGAGTTTCCACAGCTGAGGTTCTAAAATTTTTAAAATGCCATGAATATCCAGCCACAAAAGCCCTCACTCAAGAGTTCAGTAAGCTTCAATGATCCTGATGAGCACAGTAGCTTTGGCAGGGCAGAAAGGCAGATCCTGAGGTAGCATAATCTCAGAAAATTAAAAGCTTTGAAGATTAAGAGCAGGACCTTGAAATGACCCAGACAGAAAAAAAGAGAGACTAAATGGTTTCTGCAGCCAGTCCCTCCCAGACAGCAGGCTKCTGCTAAGCTCCCAAGGTCTGCAACCAGAAGCTCCAGCTCAGGAGTGCTCCAGCTCAGTGCTTTGGTCTCAGAACTGCAAGGCCCAAAAATGAAGTTTAAGTTGCTAGAAACACAGGATAGAGGAAGCATTACTGACTGCATTTGCTACCCTATGTCTAGAATATTCTGTTTTTCTGAACAACATAAATCACATTTACCCTGAACAAAGCTAAGTCCCACAGACAAGCTTATCCCACACATTTCTAAAGAGCTGGTTGTTCTTGTTTATCTTTTCTTCTATCRTAAAACATGGACAAAAATAAGATGCAGGAATCCATCTGAATCCTCACCAGTACAAAACTCCAAGCAGAAATTCCATGNAACAATTCATATCATTGATTTTACATGCCCAAAAGAAGCATAAAAATAAAACAAGGTGGACAGTGGCTTGCCATTTCAAGAGCAGAGACTGGCAGGAAAAACATCAAATGGTCTCTCACTTGTCAAATTGCTTGGCAGTGCCAAATTGCTACTGTAGGATGTCAAAAGTAGTGAGGTTAAAATTACCAGAATTATCAGAGAGACACCATGGAAGGGACAAAATGTGACAAACTCAAAATGTATTGCTACAAATAAATTTCCTTCATTCTAYTTGTTTTCAACCCATTGTAAACTTTAATGGAAATAGGAATTTGCTGTTCTTTGCAGTGATTTTTATCACCTCTGCATAAAAMTGAAGACTAGATCAACTTCTATGCTCAAAGCCCTATTCCATAGGAGAGGAGATTCAGTTCAGATTGGCTACTCTGTCTATTGAAGGAGTCTCTTTTAACTGGTTTCTAACAGAAGAGTTTTTATCTTGTAATGGTTGTAAAACATGCCTAGGTATGTGTGCATAAGACATACAAAAATGCACACACATGAGTATCTGGAACAGATTATTTAAAATTCTCCACATAAAATAATCTTCAGAGGCACAGTTTAAATTTGTAAGACATGCTCATCAAAGGCAAGACAGCTATCAGAAGAAGTGGAGGAGTATAAGCAAAAAGGCTGCATCTCCCACTCTTAATAAACTCTGACCAATTCAAAATTCAGTTAATTATCAGGGAAAACTTCTTCACCCAGAGGGTGATTGGGCACTGGAGCAGCTCCCCAGGAAGTGGTCACAGCACCAAGMCTGACAGAGTTCAAGAAGTGTTTGGAAAATGCTCTCAGGCACATGGTGTGACTCTTGGGGTATCCTGTGCAGRGGCAGGAGTTGGAATCAATGATCCTGATGGATCTCTTCCAGCTCAGCATGTTGTGTGATTCTGTGAATTTCCTTCTGGCACAGCAACATTATCCAYGTATGAAGTCCATGCCAAAACACACCCATAAAATAATCACAGCTATCCAGTCCAATATAGCAACCAGAAAGACCAGAATAGATTTAGATTTTCTGTTCATTTTACATCTTAACTGAGACAAWCACCTGAAAGGTACAGAAAGAAAATTCTTCAAAAAAGCAAATTGTCTATGTCCATGCCCAAAAACACACACTAATGCTAACTTTGGCTTTCACTTTCAGTTCTCACAAGAGATGGTTATGAGAGCTGTCTCATAGCAATCCATGTGTGCCATCAATAACTAAATAACAAAAA